GGTGCCTCCTGGAAATAGGGGTAAGAAAGGGAGGCAGATCAGATAATTTTCTTATGCCAGTGAGTGTGAATCAGGGAAGCCTGAGGAGAATAAGTAACTTCAAAAGTATTTATCTGTGATGAGGTTATTGTGTCAAGAGGTCTATCTGATGACACAAAGAGAACAAGAACACGTGTCGTAATGTAAGGAAAATGTGCAATCTGCACAGCTCATCCTGCCGCTCTGCATGGACAATATTTTCAGGAAACTGAAGAGTGGCCCAGTAACACTAACCTCTCCTTGACACTGACATTGTGGACCTAACCCTTGCTTCCACTAGGTGAGGATTATTGCAATGGATGATGAAGGTGCTTTGAGCAAACAAGCAGCAGAACTGATGAAACTGGTTTTCAATGGACTTGAATTTTGCCATTGAATTTTCTGATGTCTAATGTGGTACACAATCCAACCAAGGACCTTCCTCCAATTAAGGCACTCATAACTTTTCTTTCTCCCTCTGCCTTAGGTTCTCTAGTGTGTTACAAAAGTGTCTTATGTGCTTATGCTGCAGTCTTTTCCTCAGTGTGAGCACAATGGCAATTTCTACAGCTTCCCATAGAGTTTCAGAAAACATATAGAAAGTGTATATCATATCAAAGTATCATAATACTTTGAAAATGGCCAAGACTCAAAAGTTTCTAGGGGAACAGAGGAATACAGAATGATCAAGGCAGCTTCATCACATAACAGACTGTTTACTAAGAAAATAAGGCTAGATGCTGCCAAACAAATGTGGAACTGGATTTCAGTACTGTCCCAATCCCAGGCAGTCATCCAAATAATCATATTTGCAAAATTGCTGTGCAGACAGAAAATCCCCATGTTGTCTGTGACACCTACAGACATGTAGCAGGGGTAGTGTGAAAAGGACATCCAGCCATTCCAGACCTTTTTAAATATGTGTGTACTAAGGAGGTCATAGAATCACAGAATGGTTTGGGTTGGAAGGGACCTTAAAGATCACCCAGCTCCAACCCCCCTGCCATGGGCAGGGACCCCTTCCCCTGGCCCAGGTTGTTCCAAGCCCCATCCAACCTGGCCTTGAACCCTTCCAGGGAGGGGGCAGCCACAGCTGCTCTGGGCACCCTGGGCCAGTGTCACACCACCCTCACAGTAAAGGATTTCTTCCTTCTATCTAGTCTAAGTCTACCTTGTTCCAGTTTAGAACGATTACCCCTTGTCCTATCCCCACACTCTCTGATAGAGTCCCTCCCCACCTTTCCCGTAGCCCCTTTAAGCCCTGGGAGGCCGCTCGAAGGTCTCCCCGGAGCCTTCTCTTCTCCAGGCTGAACCCCCCCAACTCTCTCAGCATGGCCTCCCAGGGGAGCTGCTGCAGCCCCCCTGAGCATCTTTGTGGCCTCCTCTGGAGCCACTTGAGCAGGTCTGTGTCCTTCTGATGTTGGGGGCCCCCGAGCTGGACACAGAACTGCAGGTGGGATCTCACGAGAGCGGAGCAGAGGGGGAGAGTCCCCTCCCTGGACCTGCTGGCCACACTTCTCTTCATATAGCCCAGGACAAGGGTGGCTTTCTGGGCTGCGAGCGCACAGTGCTGGCTCACAGTCAGTTTTCCACCCACTAATACCCCCAAGTCCTTCCCCACAGGGCTGCTCTCAATCCAGTCATCACCCATCCTGGATTTGTGCTTGGGATTGCCCCAACCCATGTGCAGGACCTTGCATTTGGCCTTGCTGAAGTTCATGAGTTCTGCCCAGGCCCATCTCTCCAGCCTGTCCAGGTCCCTCTGGATGGAATCCCTTCCCTCCAGCATGTCAACCGCATCACACAGCTTGGTGTTGTCAGTGAACTTGCTGAGACTGCACTCGGTCCCCGTGTCTGTGTCACTAACAAAGATGCTAAACAGCACCAGACCCAACACTGACCCCTGAGGAACGCCACTCGTCACTGCTCTCTGCTTGGACATTGAGCCATTGACCGCAACTCTTTGAATGCAACCACCCAGCCAATTTCTTATGCATCAAGTGCTCCATCCATCAGATCTATGTCTGTCCAATTTAGAGACAAGGATGTCATGCAGGACAGTGTCAAATGCTTCGCATAAGTCCAGGTATGTGGAGAGAGGTGAAGGTGGAAAGATACTCAGATGAGGAAAAAATGCTGAAATCCTGCTGCCACTCTCAAAGCAAGTTGAGAATCACTGTCAAGCTTGTGTTGTCCCTCAGTTTGTCCTTCAGTCTCCTCTGGCCACCCAGAAGTGCTCCAATAGCCAGAGGATTCCAAAAGTCACAGGAGTGGTGAGGCAGCTGCATCTCCTCTTTGCTCCACTAAAGGGCTTTGGAATTCTGCCCACTTGGCATCTCTGTTGTGAGCTTTCTGATCTCCGGCCTTTTTTGACTGACATAAGTATGAGGAAAGGAGAAGCATGCCTTCCTTCCCTACTGCAGCAGCAGCAGAATTTGCTTGGATCAGTGGCCTTACAGACAGATTTATGTTCAGGCAGTGCATGTATGTCCCAAACAGGGACAAGGAGCCTCAGTCCTAGGCACTGTGCAAGTGTGAACCAAAGGGATCATTCTTCCCCCCAAAATGCTTTCACAGCCGAGTCACAACAAACTGTATGACCTGGGAAAGGCAATGTCAGGTGTTGCAAACACCAGATACTGTCATACACCTGCACAACTCTGATTGCACATCTGCAGGGTGGAATCGTTACTAGAACAACTAGGCGGTCTGCAAAGCAGGTTCTGTAGACACTTTAAATTCCATGTTCCTGACCATTTCCCTTTTATTAAGGAGAACATCCAGCCTGGTCAAGTTTTTCACAAAGGCTGGAGATTAACTTTATGAAGCCATCACAAATGTCGTCATGACCTGTATTTAGGAGAGAGTTTGCCAGAAGAACAAATTAGCGGCAGGCTAAACAGGGCTGACACAGGTAGTACTGCCCTTGCTTTACCCACAGCCTCATGCCTCCTGTTGTGTTTTCATGGAGAGTGTCTTAGAAAAATACATAGCGAAAACAGTGCTGCTCCTTTGCAGTAGGTGAAATGACAGAAATGTGTCAGCAAAGAACTTCTTAGGCTTGAGGAACCTGAGACAATCATGCAGCTTCATATTTAAACTAGTGTTGATCTGTTATCAGAGATGAATTTATGTTACCTGACCTCCATGCCATCTCGACTGCAGTTCAGTGGCTTCATTCAGCCTAACCCAGCTCAGAGTCGTTCCCTGCCCTTGGCCTCCAAGGGGTCTGCCAGATGGTCAGGGCTTCTTCTCAGCCTCTTCAAGTGGCAGCCATAGCTCATTTCAAACACAGCAAAAGGATGGAAGGGTAGAATGTTTTCTTGTAATGTTGCTAAGAAAAGGTCTAAGCCATTTGGCCATATGAAACCTGTCCTTTTCCTTATTTCCAAAGGAACTAGAAACTGGCACAAATATTTAAGGGGATGTGTGGAAAAGAGTTATGTCATTGCCCCACATACTGTTATCTCTAGCCCAGTTTTCAACTTCTAGGTGACTGCAGTGGAATGGAAAGGAGAAAAATGGAGCCCTGGCGCTTTTCACATCAGCTTCCCAAATAATTTAGTTTCCCTGCAAATAGGACCAAATGAAAAAGGCTCAGTCCTACTGCTCTCAGTCCAGAACTCCCATGAAGTCAAAGGAATGTGGAGGATTGTAGTTTTGGAATGGTGTAAATATATCGATGGGCACAATGTATACAAGCCATTATCTAAAGTGACAAGATACAATATTGTGAGATCTGTCTTTTATGTTAACACATGGAAACAGACACCAGGCAAGTAAATCTATGTATTTATTTTTTAGAAAGCAAAACTCTGTAAGTAACAAAGGAAAATTTCTTAATTAGGAAACATATATAGTAAGTAAAACATTAGAAAAAAAATCTTCCAATTGATTTACAGGAACCTATCACAGTTATTCTGGATATATGATGATACCTCTACACAATAATTATAAATGAGGGTTTCTCCAACATTTTGAAAAATGAGCAGATGAATAGAAATCATATGGCCTCACCATGATGACATTTAAATACCAGCATTCAGAAGTGGCTTAAATCCCCCTTCTGCTGGACAGAAATATGAAGAGCAAAGGCAACTGCATATATACAATTCCAAAAGGAATTCAAACTAGAATAAATAAACATCCATCAACACAGTAGCACATTCACTTACATATAACTGTTATATAATTTATGACATTATGCCATACAAAAAAAGACATCACATGTCTAAAGTTGCAAGGAGTAAAACCCACCAGCTCCCTCCAAATGCAAAGGCAGAAGGTCAGCAGTGCTGTGTGTACCAGGACTTATGGCAGGAGAAGGGACCTGGCCCTTGCTGGTGAACTTGCGTTGCTGAGCTAACCTTTGGCTCTGGCACAGCAGGCTGCACGGCTTTCCCACAGTAGCTGGGAAAGTTTGGTTGGGGTTTGTTGTTTTTTTTTTTGTTTGTTTGTTTGGTTTGGTTTGTTTTCCCCAGGCACATAGCTATACAATGTGCGAAACAAAACAATGTTTTGGGAGGCAGCAGTTCCCTTCTTTACTCTACTACTGCCATGTAGAATAAATATTTCTATGTAAGTTGTTACTCAAGACCTTACAAAGGTGTGTAGCATGGAAATATACTTCATGCTGATGCTGAAGCCTCATCAGCAGTTTGCTGATGCTGGAGCCCAGGCAAACTTTTTTCTTGTAAAAGAACTCAGGATATTCCCTGTATCTCTTGTCCTGTGCAACACCCCAAAAGAAAGGTTTTAAAGGCTGTAAATTAGTACAGCACTTAGAATTGTGCTTTTCAATATCCAAGTTAAGGATACATCTGACACAGTACTTGAAATATTTAAATAAACACAGCTATCTTTACATTAAATAAAACCCTCAATAAATAGGCCTAGCTCAAACGCAGCACGTTTCAAGAGATGAAAGTCCCCGAAGCCTCAAAGTCAGTGTCATCTCCCCTCCGGCGAGCCGCTTTCCTCCGTCAGTTTTTCTGTGCCGAGCTGAAAGCCAAGAAGGCAGAGATCAGCGCTGCCTGCCATCCCCTGCGAGCCCTCCGCTTGCTCGGAACGGGGTGCGGGGGAGGCGAGAGCAGCTCCCCCTCGCTTTATCGGGGTTCTCTGCGGGGCCCACAGCCGGGGTCGCCCCGCTCCCTCCCGGGACACCCCCCGCGGCGGCGGCGCTGCCCCGGCGGGTACCTGTTGAGGATCCTGGTGACGATGAGCTTGACCCAGGGCGCGGAGGGGCTCAGGCAGACCGTCTGGCCCTGCTTCGTCGTGGCTCTGCGGGGCGAAGGAGGGGGGTGAGCCCGGCGCCGGGGCCGGGCAGCGGGGCCGGGGTGGGGGGCGGACACTTACATGACCTCGGGCACGGCGCAGTGCGGACCCTCGGCGACGAACTCCACGCGTGCCAGGCGCCGCGGGGGGATCACCTCCGACACGGTCCGCACGCAGCGGCAGCGCAGCTCCCCGGCCAGCGGCGCACCTGGCAGGCGAGAGGCACCGCCTGAGCCTCGGCTCCGGGGACCCCCGCGGCACCCCCCGCCCCCCCACCCGGCCCGGGCACCCCGCGCAGCCCTGCCGGGCCCCGGCCGCCCACGGCTGGCTGCCCCCTCCCCGGCTCAGCCCGCCGGGCCAGCCCGCTGCCACTTACCCCGGCAGGGAGCGGCGGCCAAGAGGAGGAGGAGGCAGAGGAGGAGGCGGAGGTGCGGACTCATGGCTGGGGCTGCGGTAGCCGTCTGTGTGGCCCCGTTGTCCGCCGGTGCTTTTATCCCCCTCCGGCAGCTGTTGGGGAATTTCCCGGGCACGGAGGGAGGCCGAGCGGGGTGTGCCTGGCTGGGGTCCCCACCTCCTCTGCCGCGGGGCAGGTGGGACTGACAGCCCCCTCGGCCCTTTCCACCGCCGGGTATCGGGTGCTGAAGGAGCCGGGCAGGGAGAGAATGGGGCTAATCCCTGCCCCCAGAGGCTCCCGGTACTGCGGCTCTTCCAGGTACGGGGGAGGGGAGGACACCCGACACTGAACAGTCCCCAGGATCTCTCAGGGTCTGCGTGGGACCTCGAGGCGACTCACCCCATTCTCTGGAAGGAGCTGAGGCTCTTCTATGGGACATCTCCTTTTGCTTTCAGTGAGTCTCGGTGCAGGATGCTGAGCCAAAGGAGGGTTTGGGCTCTGGAGCTTGCCTTGCAGGCTAACCCCGTGCAACTGCAGGCTCTCATGCCATGGGGGTTGCTCCCGTGAGCACCCCTTTCTTCACCTGCCTTTTGAAAACTGCACATCTGTTTTTCCTGCAGCTCAGAGACACTCAAATTTCCATACCTACACTCCACTACAAGCCGCCTATTCCACTCCTCTGCACAGATAGGTCACCCTGTTTGTCTTCATAACTGTAAAGGCATTTTGCTAACTTTTGTTATAAAGCGGCAAAAAAAGCAGTGTTCTGGGCGCTTTTAAAGAAAAATAAATGCAATTTTTGTGAGTGTCATTTACACATATCTATATTCTAATTATGATCAAAGCACTTCATTTGTTATTAGTTTCAGTATAAAATATGATGTTGCCCATCATTTTTTTCGGAGCCAATTGTTATTCTCTCTTCCACAGGTACTTGTGAACATGAGTGGAGTTCAGCAAATCAAATTGTTTCTGGCTCAGGCTGCCAAGTGTCTTGCCCCAACAACTCAAACATCTTGTGTCTCAATTCAAATCCCTAAAGCTTCCAGGTCAGTTTTTTTTGTATCATGTGTCACATGTTGCTTTGATTTATGACATATTTATGGCTATGCAGGCATTTACAATTTGTAAGTGTGCTTTTAAATCTCCCTCCCCCTGCAACTTTGTAATCTTTTTTTACTTAATAAATATTTCTTTGCTGTAGAGTATACATCTGAAACCTCAAGCATTAATGCAAAATCAGATAAAACCAGTCAGATTTCAGTGGAATGTTCCTGGTTTGTGAAGAAGAGATCTGCCTGTGAATCATTATTAGAATGACTTGGAACCAGGCACGTTATAGTGACTGTTTTGAACTGGCTTGACTTGATTTTCAGGGGAAAATTGACATTATTTCCTTATAAGAAAACTGTCAGGACAGACGTAGATTATTGCAACTAAAGTATGTAGATTATATTTACTTTTTTTTTGAGACAAGCCAAGTAATCATTGTATTATAATGACATTATTAATGACAGAACAGGAATTAACTGGAGGTAAAACTATACTGGCAGGGATGCCAAGATGGGAAACAAAATAAGGTGATTTTTGAAATGACAAGGATCACAATACAGTAATCCCATTAGGAGGTTTACTGTCTGAAACCAAAACCAAGTCAGGACTCAAAACAGGTGAGATGTAGCATGTGAATCAGCCCTAGTGAGAGCTTAATTAGCTGTACCCAGTGGTACACAGAGACTCTTCTTCTGAGCTTTGTCTTCTGCAGATCAGACTGTATGGCCATTGGAGTAGTCTCTCAGGAGATCAGCCATGAGGGAAGATTTCATGTCATAAGCAAATGGCGATTGCCCATGTAATCAGGAAATATCTAATGACTAATTTGCACCACTTTCCAATTGCAGTTTGGTAATGACGTCCTTGGAAGCTGTTGGCTTGTAGCTTGGTCTTAAAAGGAAATTACATGATCAAGATGTCTCTCTGTCCTGTTCTGTCATTTGCCCTCCTCCCCAATTTCACCCCTCCACTAAAGTTTGTATCATTTGGCCAACTTCAGAAAGATTTGACAAAGGGCTATCAAGGGATACCAACCAGGTTAGTACAAGTTTGTGGAGATTCGATGTTGGATGGAGGGAGAGAGAATGCCAGACCAGCCCTGCCTTTGAGGGAAAATAAGGAGCATAAGTTGTGCTCTTTGCACCTTGCCAGCTGGCCAAACCAGATGTTCCTCCTTGCAGCCAGTGCACAGCTTCGAGTTATCTACCTCCTGCGCTCTCTCTTGTCTGGCTGTTTAGGTATAACTGCAACATGGAAAATGTTGGGTTGGGGAAATATGTGGTGGTTTATATGGCCTTGGTGAGAAATGGAGGGGTTACAAGAGAAGCAGCTGTGGACTGTGGTCTACTAGAGAATATAGAAGTTGTGTAGGACTCCAGAAGGTGTTCTATTGGATAGACTGGAAGAAACATCCATCTTTAAATCTGGCCCTGTTACCTTCCTGTGAGTTATATGCCATCTCTTTTTTTTTTTTCTTTTTTAGTTGAAAACAAATTAATTATTTTTAATGAAAAGAAATTCTCCACTGATGTGTATATGAAATATACATGCATAAAGCTGATGCATCACGTAACTTGAGCTTCCGTCTTCAAGAAAAAACTTTGTAGCAGAGGTGCTGTTACAGGCTCTATTTTTGCAGCCTGACTCACGCTTTTAAGTAGTAATAGTGGTAGAAGACCTTGGTGAGTAGTGTTGTATGTTTTTTTTTTTTAAGCAACTGAGGAGGTTGTAGTCAGGGAGAGGCAGGGACATACTTTCCTTGAAAACTTGAGAGGTTCCTTAAGAAAACCATAACAAACACAGCTGTTAAGAATGGACAATTGGCCACAGGTGCTTAGGGGTGACCACTAAACAGAAAAGTTAGAAAGCTTCCCTGAGATCCCTTGGGATCATAGGGATGGAGCCACTATTCCCTCCAGGCTATAGAACTACAAGCTGTTGCACTGTGAGTACTCAGTATGGCTGCCCCAAGGAAGTCCCATACTCTTTGCAGGACAGCACTAATGAACACAGATTTTATTTGCAGATGTGCATTACTATGTTGATAGGAACGCACATGCTTGAGTGACCTTAATCTACGGGAATCAGGTGCCCTCCTACACCCTCATAGACCTCTGCGTGTCCATAACTAGTTTTCTCCTAAACATAGCACTCACAAGCTGAACAGCAGAATGGAGGCTTCTGCTGTATTACCAGGAAGAAGGATTTGCCCAGCTGTAACAATCTAAGGCAATAAACAGTTAGGATGATGCACAGGTAATCCAGTACAGATCATTAGCAGATCCAGCTCTGAATACATGTGCAGAGCAGATCTGTTGAGTAAGAAATTGTCACTCATACACAGTTAAATTACGTGTTGTTCTTGGACAGTACACATGAGTAAGGACAGTTTACGTGACAGCGCTTGGTTTTATGCTTGGATGACTGTTCACAATATCTGAACTGTCACTCATTCCACAGTGGTTACTGCTGAGGAAATTCCAGAAGTCTCCTGGGGTCTGAAGTGTGAGGCGGTTTTGGACATGGGGCAGTGTGTGAAACTCAGCAGTCAGCTCTCTGGCAGAGGCATGTGCTGAGATGAGCAGTAGCCAGAGAAGAGGTCGTGAACATGCTGTGATGCAGTAGGCATTACAGAGCTCGATCCTGTGAGTCAGGATTTGCGCAAACAGGCCTGGCACAAGGGAAATGGGTATCTCTGGGAATATTTCACAAGGCAAGACCATCTGCCTGAGCAAACCTTTATACCTGCAGACTTCCCGATTGCCTCTAGCTACCTTCCATGTGAATGTGGGTAGGCTCTTCAGTCCAGATGACAACAGCAACAAGGCTGAACTATAGATGAACTCTCCTGGATTCTACCCTTTCCTCAGGCTCCACTCACCACCTGTGGCACATTGCCTTTTGAAAGTAGGGAAAAGATAGACAACAGGTAGCATCACATCAACCAGAATTTAGAAAGCTGAGTTCTTCCCTGCCTGATGCTGTATCTCCTTCATTATAGATGTCTGTCATGCATTGGCTGCAGGTGGTACATATGTGCTTAAGATTAAATTAGTTACCATGGTATCAGTACAGCTGTGACAGAATTGACCAGTGTCTGTATTTGCCTTGTTGAAGTTACCATTCAAGTTACCCACTTTGCTTAGGTCCTTTGGTAGAAGCTGCTGTGTGAAGATACTCTGAAATCCCTCAGTGTTCTTAGTGTGGGCCCCATGGTTAACGGAAAGCTGGCCCAGTTTAGGCAAGCCCTAAGGAAACGCATTCAGAGAATTACTAGCCACATGACTTAATCTTTTTCATGTTAACCAGTTGTCGAATCATTAAGTGCAGGAAGTGATTCTGTTGCTTTGTTGCACGCTTTGGCTGCTTGCCTTCCCACAGCAGGTATTGGTTTGGCATCTGTAGCGACAGCATGCGTTCACTGGCAGCAGGCCCAGAAAAGCTAAAACACAATTAAACAAGAGACAATGTCTCTTTCATTTCAACAAGTGAGGACTTTTCCTAACAGCACAAAAATGAGTTTGGGGGATATGTCCCAGATATAAATCTTCGGTCAACTCCTTAACATCACCTAGAACCTGTTTAACATGGACAATCTCTGAAGGGGCAGTTTTTTTCCTATCAAGTCTGGTGTTTCCTTCAGTGCTTCAATTAGGAATGAATTATGTTCTGATTTGTAAGAGAGAGCTAGAAAAATATCAAGTCACTGCTTCCTACTAGTGTCTAAAGTCAGAGGGTGTATATTGCTAATATCCCCTCCTATCATTATGATGTTACCTATTTTTCTATACTAGTAAGATGTTTCATAGTATTCCCTAGCACCTATGACTACTCCTAGAGATCCAGTGCTGTCATAAGGTACAAACATACAGTCATCTCTGCTCTCAGAGAGCCCATACTGTGGGAGGATTTTCTGAAGGTTGTAGCCAAATTTCAACATCATGCTACAATTTTGTGCAAAATATGTTTTATATCTATCAGATGTTTTATTTCCCTGAGTTTCCATGTGTTTTTCTCTAGTTTTGAACTGTTCTCAGTCCGTATTCCCTTGTAAATAATACCTGAATATGTAAGAAATACAAGTGTCCCATTGTTCAGCTTGTATCATGGAGGATGTCAACTCAGTTTTGTCACCTGCATCATGGCCCACATCACACACTGTTGCATGCTCATTTCTTTCCTACCTTTTAAGATGTTAAGGTTTGCATTTAAAATGATGATCTATAGCAAAAGATGGTCAGTATTTTTTTACCTGCCTTCCTGGGTCTTCATCTAATTTTAACATTCTGGAGTCCTCAGATCTGTCTTTTCCCTCTCAACAGAGTTAGATGTCCTGCTTTAGCTGTGTTCATTGGCGACAATGAGTATGAAGAAACACACTGTGAATAACTGCAAAGGAATGTGTTTGTATTACTCAAGCATTACCTTAGCAAATTTGAAGGGTTGCTTTTGACTTCAGTTCCTTTGGTAGCCATTTCTCCATTTTTCAGTTTCGAGTGCCAACTTACCTTTTCTGAGAAAGGTAATGGGATTGTAGTTACTGCCACACTGTGACCTTACTTTGTGTGACTCCTGAAAACACAACAATTTCAAAAAGCACATAAATTGGCTGGTGGTGGACTGACAGGTTCTGGTGTTTTATACCTAACATATAACACAAGAGGAGCTTCCTTTTGAAGATAGGCACAAATAATTCAAGCAATTTGTTCCTAGCCCCACTGAAGAACAACCCCCCAGGCTTTTTAGTGGCAGGCTTGATCCTGTTTAAAGATTAGAATTGGCTAACTCCTTCCATCCCCACTTAGCTGTTCAGCTGAAAAGCCTTTGAGGTCATCACAGCTCCTGAAAGGGGTAAAGAGCTCCTCTTGGCCTTACTAGCAGCTGAAAATGCTTTGCATCTTACAAACTTCCTGCAGGTTTTTGGCCTTGGATCTGTAGAAACTTCGGGGACAACTCATTGTTCAGAAGATGGAGTGGATGTCTTGCTGTGGGCTATGAGATCCTGCTTGTCTGCCAGAAGCAGGCAGGTTTTCTGATTGCTGAGTCAGATCTTCATTCTGTGGTTTGCACATTAATTCAGGTATAATTATATTGAATGTGCAGCTGGCTCTAATATCTACAGCAGGATTTATGCTTTGCCAGTGCCTTGTATAGGCCTGATACAGCATGTCCTGTAACAGTCAAGAGTTGTTCTAGTGGTGTTATCCAAGCATGGGAGAAAGGATGTAGAGCCAGTAATACACTTCTGTTGTGCTGATACTTTCTAGGTAGTAGTATTTTGCAGTGGTGGGTAGAAGTATGTGAGGTTCCCCAGGGAGCAAGATAAAAAGATGTATAAGAAAAAGTGTTGTTTTTTTTTTTCAGTTTGAAAACTTAAAACAGTATTTTCAGTTGAAGCTAAGTAACTCATGAGCGGTTAAACGCATGCCTTATTTCTGAGCATTGTCAACTAAGATGAAGTTTTTGCTTGACAAGGGGACCTCTCAAAGAAGCTGTGAGAACACTGGTCTCCCATCCTTTTACTTTAAGCCTGATAGTAAAGTTTTTCCTCAACTTGGAAACAAGCTGTTTCAAAATAAATACATAAAAATTTGTCACATCTGCAAATAGTTGAAAGTAAAGCAAATATGGGTCTCTTAAAAAATGAACTATTCACCCAATAAAAAAAAACTAACCCAAAGCAACAACACCCCCCCCCCCCCCCCAAAAGTGAGTTAAGCTAATTTCAATCCAGCTAAATTTTCAGGTTCATTAGAGCTGAGTAACTTTTGAGGATGCTTTGGATAGTTGTGGTCTTCTGGTTGAAGTGATGACATCAGTTAAGAAAGCATTGACATGAGACTGGTGACCATGTGAAAATGGGAACACACGTCAGGATCATCACAAAATCTTTTAAGTCTTCTCTTATGGCACCCTCACTTTAATCCTCTATGTTGCTTTCATTGGTTGTGTTGCAATGAAGGAAAAATGAAGAAGTCATCCTTGCCTTGTGCTCTAGAAGATAATAAAACTGCTACCTCCACAAATCCTTTCATAAAGCACTTTGAGCACTATGTGCAGGTTCATTCTTCAGCATATTTGAACTCTGTAGCAAAACTGATTACGGTGTTCGTGGCAACAAAAAATACCTGCTATTTAGTTGAAAGTAAGGAAAAAATAATTTTGATAAGTCTGCTTAATTCTCAGTGAATTATCCAAAATAGCATACAAAACATCAAGAGGGACAAGTATTCATTTGAGCTTGTTAAAGGGAGGTGTTTAGAGAAGGAGGTGTTTGGAAGAAAAACATTCATAAGATTTTTCATAAATGTGATTACCACTGAGGTTACTGTCAATGGTTATCCTCCCCATTATCTTGCATTTCTCTCTCTTTTTTTTTTCTTTTAAATTTTCAGATTGTTTGACTTCAAGTAGCTTCAGTGCACACAGGGTACAGTAACATGCAAGGAGACCATGCTAAAAATTACACCAACAAATGTAAGCACACCATTTTTTCTTTCTTAAAATTGATAGTGAGTGCTGGTGTCAGGAGTACACAGAGAGGGCAGAAGAGTAAGCAAGCCAGAGGGATTCTTCAGAAAATAGGCTACTGAAAAAAAAAAGCAACTTCTGATTTGCTTGAAATTCATCATTTTTACCTTTGGTTTTCTTCTAAGTAGTCAGAAGTCCCATAAAATTAAATTGATCAGGACATCGACTGAAAAGAATAATTTCACTTATCTCCAAATACTGTTTTGCTGTGAGATTGGAGTGGTTTAATTTAGGTAAACTATTTGTCATTAGCGCTTGAATATATGCTTGAGTTTGACAAAATTATTGCTTTCTACTGAAGTTTTTCTGTTTGTTGGGATCCTAATTTTTCTAGTGGAGCACTGTTCCATCAGAACTCTTTCCACCTGGACAGCCCTATCATATATTCATGGTACACATCATCTGAAACAAACTGTACTTGGTACTTCTCACTGAGAACTCACTCCTGTAGAACTTATTGATACAGCATTACCCATTTGCTTCTTATGCTTCTTATTCTGTTTCTTTTTATAGTCATTTTAGTATCAGAAGACATTTGGATGCTATCCCTCATCCTTTCCTCCAAGCAGAAGTAGTATTATGAGAATTTTTCAACAAGGAAATTATTCTGTAGCATTTGGCCTGCCAACAGGTCAGGTGTGTGCTGATAGATTTAGAGCTCATGTTTCTTCATCTAGTCTCCTGCTGACATTGGTGAAAGATTTGGGTATGCAAAAACAACTTTTTTTTTTTTTTTTTTAGTGTTAATCCTAACTAGGAGTGGGTGAAGCTACAGTGTTCAGTATGAACCAGCTATAACAATGCCTGTTTTCTTTGGCTCTCTTTTTGTTAAAATTGTGTTCCAGGTGAGCAGAGCTTATGTACATTGCTCCTCTTTTGTAGGATGATGGTCTTTGCCATCAAAGGTGAAGTACCAAACCAAGAAAGCCCAGAGGGGAGCAAGAGAGAAGCAGGGGTTAGTGCAGCCTTGTGTACTCTGCCTCTCACAATAGGATCCTGAGGACACAGGGACTTCACCTGTCTTAACTTTCTAGAAAAGGAATTAGCAGAAGGTGAGGAGTTGATAGAATCTTGGCAACAGGAATTCACTGAGTCAGCAAACATGGGTTTATTGGCTCAGTTACTGGTCTGCTGATGGCAATGTCTGGCTTAGCCATGAACCAGCCTGGCTTGCTGTGGATTTGTTTATTGGTTATTGATAACTCAAACATAAAGCTTTCAGAGAATCAGATTTCTTGACAAGTCAGTCGCTCTTCATTATTTGTGTTGGGTGACTAAGTGCCTTTCACACAAAGAACTGACACCTCCATGGGCAACTCTTACTCTTCAGTAAGAGCAACTGAGCTGTGTAAAATACAAGTTAGTACTGAAGGAAGGACTGTGGAGGCTGATGGTCCAGAAGTTCTGTGGGAAGTACAGGCTATGGTTCAGATCCTTTTAGTGAGAGAGAATAAAGCCTTTGTGCTCACATTTCAGATTGTTGCTTGATTTTAAGCACACTCTTCTGCTTCCAGATACAGTATGCTATCTATAAAATTCTCCCAGACCCCACATGGCACAGTGAGGTGCAAATTAAATCTTGGCTCTGGTGTTCTGCTTGCAAATACAGTGAACATTTGTTCTGATTTGGCAGGAAGAAGGAAGTAAAAGTATATAGGGTGTATTCAGATTTTATTTGCACCCATTTTGCACTGGTATCATTATATTATGGTGCTGGGTGAAGCCCAAACACAAGCTGTCCTGACGCATGGTTTATATCCTTACTGCCTGATGTTCAGTAAATTCATGAAAGTAATGGCATGTGCTGGTTCCTGCACATGTGTTTCATTCTGCAGAGGCAGGCACTTCACTCGCCCGAAGATCTGTTGGGCTTTTCTAGCAGCCGCTTGAAGTGTTGACAGGCAGATATGGGATCTGCTTTAAGAAACTAGAATCAGCTAACCTGCTGAAATACTCTTGACTCTTGTTTAGCCACCTAGATCTCCAGGTCTGATGAATAATTACTTTACAGGGTTGTCTCCTACTGTCCCAGAAACGTAACTCTTTGGAGGGTCAATGCCAGACCGTTTTGTGAAGCTGTTAGCACAGCAGTGCTAGTTAGGCAAGGTACTGGTGTTATCATGATTGTGCTGAGATTTGCAAATAATACTGAGATCATAGCACTGCAGTTTGTAACTTGTTGGGAGGCTGTCCCAGGATTTTGATGTAAGGAGGTATGATTTATCCTGACCATGAGGGGTTTTTTTTCTATGCAAAAAGTAGCAAAAAGATTAATACCTTTTAGAAGCTTCTGCTGGGTGAAATTATTTTGTGGAGGTTCAGTCAATACTATTCCTCACTGTAGGCAGTACTATTTACATCTGATGTGACAGAAATTTGGAAACATGGGCAATTCAAGTCAGGAGCTCTTTTTGTCCGTAAAACTGCTGAGTAAAAGTACTGTTGACCACTTTCCACTCAGCCAGGATAACAGCTTTGCAATAAAAGCAATTCCAAAATAAGTCTTGTGTAACAGGATGAGAAACCTATCAAACTGCACCTCTGGACTTCTGTGGAGACTTGGTCAATCCTATATATCTTCAGATTTCTTGTAGTGGAAATCCTCTCCTCAGTGATTGTTCTTCTGGGGCAAGACACCTTTTTTTATTTTTTTTTTTATTGCGGTGACTCTGACCAGCAATCTAGATCTGGTGATTTCTAGACTAAATGAAAATTTACTGTCCACCCCCCCCCCGGTTTTGAGGAGAAGATCAATTTGCCTATCTCCTCCTTAATTTCTGCTCCATTCTGAACTGGCAAGTCTGCAGCTAGCTTTCCTCTCACAGCAGAATTCTAATGTTTGCTGTTCCAAAAAAATGTTTTCACCTCAAACTGCACACATCTTGCAGTTTTCTTTGGAAGACTTCCAGCCCCATGATAGCTTATTTTGAACCTTCTCCATCCC